AAGGAAAAAAACTCTTTTTCCACAGGTCGCGTCGCCAATCAAACAATTCACAAATCAAATCAGTGTTGCAAGCAGTGCTAATCACACGTAATGGCTTTGCTGGCTGCCGTTCCCACCCACCAAATGCATGTTATTACCTCATTCAGGCTGAGAAATATGGAAGCAATTAAAGAGGAGGGTAATCTGGCAATCATTCAAAATCACCCTTACATTGCATATAAAATGGAGATCAGAACCAATGTATCCAGGTCCATATTCTTCTTCTTATACTTTGCCTTTTATAATAACAGCTCAAGTAGAAAGATTTGTGAGGGCAAACAATTGATTCACTACGATGCGCTTGAGCTGCAGCAAGAGAGGCGATGTCTGAATGAGTGAGGCAGCCATTCATTCATTCATTGTGGGGACTTGTGAGAGGAACGGCTTTTAAGCAGGTAAGAGGAGCGGATAGGAGCACACGCAGTCCATCTGCCCCGAGCCAAGGGGCTGTGTGTTTGTGTGACTGTCCAAGGAAGCGGCGGAGCACTTTCAGCGCTCAGGCCTGAACTTGTCCCGGAGCTCCAGCGGGATCTGTCTGGGTTAACAAAGTACTGCAACAAAGCCCAACAGAATTCAGCTGCAGCGCCACAGAGTTAACTGATGCAGCACGAAAACCCAGATGAAGAATTATTCTCATATATAACCTTTGGTCTGCCATCACAACGAGAGGGGAGTATTTATTAGAGATAAACAGGGCGCACATCTGTTCTCAATCTATCAATATATGTGACAAACAAAGGCCGTTTCCAACAATATCCACTTGCACATTCATTTTCTAGAACTGGACACTGAAACCAAAGGAGCCCACAAGCTGTGCTTACAATAAAGTGAGGCAATCCTTTCTACATTTTTGTCTCATTCAACAATGAACTCGTAGAATACTAAAACTAGAATAAATTATTTAACATTAAACATCTGTCAAACATAAAACGTAAGAATGTAAATCTCGCATTAGTTTGCTGCTTCCTCTGCATCAAAAGATGGAGAAAGACGAGTATTAACATTACTAATATGAATAATTATTGCGGTAAATCTTGATTTTCCTCTGTTGTTTTTTTTATATCTGCCATGAATCGGATTCCTTTGATGTCTCTTGGATGACATCAGTCAAATTGACAGTGCGTGACATGTGACTGTTGAGCTTATGAGTAAGGGAAAAAAGTCTTCATGCAGGGTGATGAGATGAAAAAGACAATTGGCCTGACGCTTTGACTGACTGCGGTCAGCGCGGGAGGCCGGCCCGCTGCATTAATCAGATCATTGCGTCCGACCCTAATGCGGCCAAATGGGTGAAGCTTTTTCCTCTCTGGTTCTTTTACTGAGGTCTTAATGGGCGTCTGAAGCCAAATTCCCACCTCCCACACACACATAAAACCCTCTGAAACCGTCACTGTGAAGCCGTCTTTATATGTGCGACCCCAAATTCCCTACTTGGATTTGACCCTGTTTGCATTGTGTAAGTCTGCCAGACGACTGGGTAAACATGGCGGCGTTTCACTGATCTTCACGTGAATAAAGCCGTACCGCTGCCCTCTTTAACCCCTCTCGGTAAGGGTGGTTAGCTCGCTGTTTTTTCTCCTTTCTCCGGGTTTGTTGACTCCACTGAGGGCGCAGCCCGTTCCGTCGCCCCCCCTGGCAAGATCTGCTGTGATTACGCGGACCAGTGTTTGCTTTTCCCAGCGCGCTTAGCCCTTGGCTTCTTTTATTCATATTAATTCGGTCTCGCTCTTTCTCTGCACGGCTCTTTTCATCTGTTCCTACCCTTAGCAGCTCACACTGATGGGCCGCCATCCAGATACACACTTCACCGTATTCCATAGTCTTCACCGTATGTGGAGACGATGAGTGCAGACTTTTATTTGTTGCAGCGGTTTAAAGTCAAGTTTAGTCCGAAGATGAACACATTTGTTTTATCCCAAACAATGTGCCGTGTCTTTTAGCTAATATTAGCTGTCAAGTCTAATAACGTTTAAGTAAAAAGTAATAAGTCCCTTTGATTGACTTTCAAAGCGGTTTCAAATACAATTGAAAGAATATGATGAGTTTTATGTAAATGTTAGAGATATTAAAACATTAAATTATCAAGATGTTTGAGTCACCTTTAAAAGTTCAGCGTGATACATGTCCGTGTAAACATAGCCAAGATTTTGCTGACCTTAGTCACACACATACATTCTTGATTTGTGCGCTGGATTAAACTGTAGGATTATTGCAATTACTTTGAGAGACTTCCTGTGACTCATTAAAAAAAGTGGAACGTCGGGACAGGAGTTCTGCTCCCGTTTGAAATAAGGGGGAATAGTGGTCGTAAAAATAAAAGGGATTTCATTTCAAGGGGAAAAAAAGTTTAGAGAATGTAATCCCATTCAAAATGATATATATATATATATATATGTATCGTATATGAAACATATATGAATGTGGACATATGAATATGTCCACATTCACAAAATCTCAGAAAGAAGAAACAAATGACACTTAGGCCTGGACATGGACACAGAAAATGAAACGAAAAGGTATAACAAGTTACAAACAAACAAAAAAAGGTGGGACTATAATTTAAGGATAACATTAGAAATACAAATATAAGATTTCACTGTGGGAACAATTTACTAACCCAACTTTACTTCTGACTAAACCTCCCAGCGGTAATCCTCTATCTCCCAGCAACGTGCCTCACACACACTCTCCACAACAACAAAAAAAGGGCCTTTAACAGCACATGCTGCAGGATTCCTATTTAGAGGCTGGGGGTGAGGGTGAGGGTGGGGGTGGGGTTCACAAAAGTCAATTTACAGTACGGGTCAGTTCATCCGAAAGCCTTTAACACTTCAGCCAAATTCTTTGTCTCCCTCTTTCACATCTAGTTATCCGGACCGCAGGCTCCACAAAGGCAATTGGCATCAAATTGTCCGGGTTGACATTAACCCCTGATATTTTCACTGCTCGCCATTAAAGTTCTCTTCTCCTTCTCTATTACTAGGCCATTCCCACCGAGCGGGGGAGTCACACCAACCACTCAGAGATAATAAGATACTTTCAGACAAAGACAGAAAGAAAGAAAAGAAACATAAACTGCAGAGCCGATTAGTTTTTTCGTTTTTTTTGTCGTCTTTACTTTTGTTATTTGGTTGCTTCGGACACAAAGGCCCTTAACAGCCCAGAAAAGGGCTGCTCTTAAGCCGTTTTTTGAACCACATCCCTGCCAAAATGGCCCTGCCTATTCATGACCTATATATTTTTCTGTGCGGTCACTCTCCTGTCTCGCTTTGTGTCGACAGAAATAAGGAAGAATGTGGACCGAATCAATATTTACAGCAGGTTTGTATTGTTCTGACACGCAGGCCTCACCTCACATGTTTTATTGTAGAGACTTCATCCGAGTGGAATATTGCACGAAGGTTAGACGGAGGTCGCACGGCTTAGTGATAGCAATGGTTGCTTAGAGGGTCAGTTGGCATTTCCAGACGGAAGCAGGTCAGACTCTCTTATCTTAAGCATCGTGATAAAACCGCTATAATATCATGTTTGGTTGAGGTCACAAAAATCTCACATGGTATTCCTGTGCGACAAAGAATTGGTCAATCCGATTTTAACATTTACATAAGAACAATTTCATAATTTAGCACATTTCTAGGGCTGATTAGAATTGAAAAAATAGATGAAAAGCGTCATTTTGTTAGACATCAGGGTTTGTGGTGCATTGGAGGGTCAAGAGTTCAGCTGAGTGACTCGTTGTTCAAAAGGGCTTCAAACCGTCTAGAGAGTACTAAACATGCTTAAGATTTACCAAATGTGTGTGGAGTAAAATCATTCATATTTGCATACTTGGCCACACCAACATGACCCTTTTCTGTCCTCTGCTAGTCCTTTGTCTCTGGTCTAACGACCTGTATTTGACCTGTATTTGAGGACCGCGTGCAAGTCCTCAATCAACAGTTGAGACGTCGCATTTCTGCAGCAGTGACAATGACAGACTCTCTCTCTCTCTCTCACTCACACACACACACACACACACACACACACACCCTATGCTCTTCAACTGCAGGCTGAGCAATGGCAGTGACTGAGGAGTCCTTGAGGCTGTCGACGAGCCTGTATGCCGGCAGGGCAGACCCCCACTAACCTGCACAGAGTAGACCCTCCATGACCCCGTCTTTTCTGCTTTTCGACTACTACTACACAACAACATCCTCTGATCAAATCCGCCAGACTCTCTTAGAGTTGGTAGTTTGGTTGCTCCCCTCAGCCACACTGGTCCCGTGCATCTTCTCGCACAAACCTAAATACACGCATTCCAGGGTTGTTTCTGTGGGTTTGTATGTGCGTCCTCCACAGGCTACGGGTCAGGAAGTGTTACAGCTCCGGAGCTGCGATGCATCATGTGAGCTCCCAGCATGGGGCCTCTACGTTGTGCACAGTTATTTCTGTCAGAGTAGAATCATGAGAACCACTTTAACCAACACACAGCTGTCCAGAGGGTAATACCTCAGCTGAATACAGTGCCAAGTCTGCTCCCGTCCGACAGGCAGGCAGCTATATGCTCCAAATAAATTACATTTCTGCCTCTTTTTTAGGTTTTTATTAGATTTTTGTTCATTGGAGGCTTGGTGCCTGACAGATTGGTTGGAGTGTGAGAGGAGTGACAATGATATCTTTGCAATGGCCTTTGTGAGGTGATGGGATGTCCAAACCAACACGTTTGTTGTTTGGGTGATTTAGAGAGCGGCTGAACCCCAAAGCTCGTTACTGCCTCTGCTGAGCTGAGTTACAATCCCTGTGCGCTGTAAGTCGTGGCACACTCTTATTTTATAACACTTGGCTTCGCAGGGAATTACAGTAAATGTTGCTTAGCTTAGGAAATAATTAGGAATTTGTCTATGCCAAGATTCTGTAATAAGAACCCACGGTACGTGCTTAAAAACGCAGTAGAAGAGAAAAATCATGCAAGTTCCATGTCATTTAATTATTTTATAAATAATTCTTTCTTTATTTCAGTATACAAAATAACAGTATGTACACCCACACAACAGTGGTTTACAAAATCCATCAGTTCAGCTCATACGCTCTGAAAAATAGAATATATTTTGAACTGCATGACAGGCAAGGAGGAGATGATGCAGCATTTTACAAAGTCCTCAATAGTCGTCTGTCGGTCCACAGGGATGCAGGCGTGTATAGATCTGCACAAGACACACGGCGAGAGTCCAAACCGTCAACCACAAAAATGTTCCATGATTGAAAAGTACTCTGAAGTTCCCTTTTGTGTTCCTTTTCTCCCCCTATTGTCCATCGCCGCAGAGGAGAAAAAGTTTTAATGGTACCTTTAAAAATAAAAAGTACTATGCGGATCCATCAGAATGCTTCGATTTCCGTGGAATGAAACACGCGAGTCTCTGTGTAGTGAGGTGCAAAGACAAAAATCTCCCCCTCCAGCATAAAATCCTATATTATTTATTTCTTAGATATAATAAAATAGACTTTAGATATCCCTGTTAGGGGGATTTATAATCATTAACAAAGAAAAGAAAACACCCAAGAGGTCTTCAGGTAAACTGGCCCGGTTGCCGTGTTCTTCGCGTCCAGGTTTCGTGTGGCGGAGAAAGAGCCCAGAAGACCACTCTGCATTTTGGAGATTCAATACAAAAAATGATACTGACACAAGAATAGAGCCGGTCTCGTTGAAGTTAAACATGCTAAAGCTTAAAACAAAAGTAAGCCTTCTCCGTATTGTAGTGCTTTGGTTAATCTGCAGCCTCGGGTACAGGTAGAGGGCCGCTGGCGGGCGCCGGTCTGAACCACCGACTCATTTGCAGACGTATCTCTCCACAATCCGCTCACACTTCTTGCAGGTGACGTAGCAGCACCAGTGGTACTTGCAGTGGCAGCGCTCCACCAGCTTCTCCGTGTACGGGTTGTAGCCACGGCCGCAGCACATCATGTCGCAGTTGTCGTTGCCGAAGGAGGTCTTGTTGCACTGCCTGAAATAAGACAAGAAAAGGGAAAATGTTGTAAATAGCGGACTGAACAATCCGCTATCAACGCTACGATATTCCGCGGGGTTTCCTGTGTGGTTTACGTTTACAGCTTCATTCAAAAATACTTTGTACGGAGCAACACAATAGTCCTTTCAAAAGAGCTCCGCCGTCCTGTGTGCCTCAGCCTTTTGAGCGTTTTAGAAAACCTTGAATGAGCAGTGAGAATGGCCCCCGCCATAAATCACACTGGATACACGGGGCTGCCATCCCTTCCTTTAGCTTGCCTTCTCCACCTAATTGCATTCTTTTACGATGGCAGTGTTAATGACCAGTGTGTTGAGGGAGACACTGAGGCGGCTGCGGGAGTGAAGGAGAAGGAGAAAGTTTATTATATCGGTGGGAGCTGGGAAGTATGCAGAATGGGGGAGATAATGTTGTTATATCACTTCCGTGCTGTAAGTGCAAAGAGAGGACAGCACTATGCGGTTCACATCTGCTGCGTGACGCAACAGTACATTAATGTGATTTAAAACTAAAAAACAAGCCTCAATAGCACATCTATTCCAAATGCCAGGGTACTCTTTCCGTATCAGTGATCACATTTTTTCCATCAGGAGTTGTGGCTAAAATTAGCTGTTTCGGACCGTCTGTATGGTCTTGTCAAATTTTACACAAAGTTCTAGCCAACCAAAGTCTTACAAAAGAGAAAATGTAACAAGCCATCAGTGGAACGGTTAGCTCTGGTTTCCCAATTCTAGACATAAAGGAACAATGGATTCCCCCCCCATGTTCACTCACACGTGCTCAAACACAAACATTAGCTCCATCACACGCTCATTTAATAACGGGGGCAATGCGGCGCCTCGTGATTCGGTCTGCTGCGTTATCAGGCTGCAGACAGACAGCGGACGCATCAGGCCCAGCGAGTGTTGTTGACGTTAGGCATGTCTTCTGGTTATCTCTGAAGTGGCCCAATGGCGACACATCGTATGACAGTCATATGATGTGTGACATTTAAATTATACAGCATGTCTTGCTAGTTAGGGCAGCCTTTTATCCTCAGCGGCTTAGTCAACTTGAGCTGGCTGGCTGCTGACCGATAGTCTGGCTAAACAGATGGGACGATGCTGCTGAAATGACATGATATTTTTAGTTTAAACACTAACAGTAAACTAATTAGTAAACCCCATTGTTTGCCTTCAAAGTTAAAGCTAAACAGTAAAGCCTCAAAAACAAGCCGTCCTTTTTCTGTAACTCAGTTATGGAAAATTGAGTAATTCAAGAAGCTTGCGCGATAGCGCTGCATATTTGAGCCCTACTTCTCTGACCCTGTGTAGGCCAATGACCCGCCCGCTCAGACTCTGCTTCTCAACTTCTCACGGAGCACAAAGCAGCAGCAGGTACACATGTTTAACACTGTGTCCCAACTTAAACACCGGAAGCCCAGAGGCGCAAATAAACCTTTATCTTTGGCGGACAATTTCCTCATTTGTGTGGCCCCCTCCAACCGATATCAGCTGGAGTCCACTCAGCCCTAAGAATAACGGCATTAGTCGTTAGATAGCGAGACGACGACTCCAGTCGCAGTGGCCCTTTCAGCGGCACATGCTCAGACGCAGCACTCTCAGGGGCCGCTGGTTTTTATCAGCCATCCTGCCAACAAAGCGGGGCCAGCAGGCAGGAGGGCAGTACAGTCGACGACCTGGACGTGCAGACATGCAGGATCGGCCGAGCGAAACGGATCCCTGCTACCAAACGTCCCGCCCTCTCACGTGCACGCTCGCAGTCAAAGACGAGGAGGTGGCGCGCGGTCTCACCTGTCCTGGGTGCCGATAGAGCCGAGCTTTTCATTCTTAGCGCAGAAGTCGGAGGAGCTCTGCAGGTAGACCAGCTCGTTATCCCTCACCGGCCTGATGTCAATGTCTTTGGGCACCAGCTGCTTGCGCGTCCCCATGGGCCTGTGGACAACTTTGGTGGCCGACAAGTACTTGGTCTTCAGGTCCATGGCGATCTCCTTCAGGTCTTGCAGGCCTCTCCAGCAGGTCCTTATGGAGCACGAGCCGGACACACCGTGACATTTACACTTCATGACCAGCGCATCTCTCAACGCCTGCATACGACGACATATAATAGTACATGTCAGACAGAATCACAGATGTTTTGATACCAGTTTGTCCTTCGGGATACCGCTTTAGATACCTAAACTTGTTATCGACAGATACTAAGCACCGATCCGGTACCAGTGATTTAGCATGCATTGAGCATAATCTCTTCTCCCGCTGAATTCAACAGCTAAATCTATACAAATACATTTACAATTTAAATATCGTATCCCTTAACAACAAAAACATATTGTGAAACGTCGACGAGATAAGCACGGCCATATCGCTGACCTGTCTTCCAACTTCACTGTTGTGAAGGTGCATCAGCTTATTGGCGTGTGAGCCCGCACGCTTCATCTTCATGGGCGCATCCGAGAACTTGGAGCCCATGATCAAGCCGTAGTGCAGGTTGTCCGCGCAGCCGCCCCAGCGGTAGCCGGGTTCCGGGATCTCCGAGGGAATAGGACCACACGAGCACAACCGCAGGTCCCCGGAGGTGCACGCCCGCGCTATGGTGTGGCTGATGGTCGCGGCGGACAGGGCGTAGACGAATGCAGACTCTCTGGTTCCTGTCGACAAAAGAAGGATCACAAATTGGTCCTGCATTCGACTCATTCGTATATAATTTGTACGTGTGTTTCAGTCTTTTTTTTATTTTTTATGAATTGATTATTGGTCAGTTAGTTAGTTGAGAGTCATTAGCAAAGCCGTAGAATCAGAAACTTAATTTAGCAACTAATATTTATGTAATATAGTTAGTTCGTTTTTTTATGGTTGTCAGAATGTTACTATTGGTAAGGATGTCATGTCTAATTCTTAGCATGAGCCATGTAATGGACAGCTTTCCCTCCACTTGGTTCCGCTTAGTTCGGAAACTATTTCTCTGTAATCAACTTCTCTGCAATCCATCTGTTCCGTTTCCCTCTCAGATCTCTCAGCGCACTAAAAAACAACTAAATTGGCTGCACAAAAATCAAAACATAGTCCATCGGCGCTAACGGGGAGTGAGCGCTGATGTAAGTGGGGGTGATGTGAGCACACAGGAAAGCACCTATGTTAAATTCCGGGGAGCAATTTGGAAGTAAGGGGAGAAATCACGCATGACCTTGGGGCTTGTTTGATCAAAGCCATCCGTGTACAGAGATGAGCCATTTCCTGTCGCTGCAGACTGTTCATTTGGCAAATGGCTGGCATGTCCTCGTGCACAGACCAAATCCCAAGACACACACACACACACACACACACAACAGACTCCGGCTGAATCAAGGTCCTTTTTGGCACTAGACAGAACTAAGAAGTACTGCAAAGCTACCAGATCATGTGGATTTCGGTAACTCATCTATCGTGCAGAATTAACAAATGTTGTATGTGGGGGTCTGTTTAGAAACAGCTTCCATGCGAGTTCCTAGTGAAAGCTCTGTGGGAATATATCATGAAACAATTTTGCTGCCAAAAGAAAGAAGGAAAGTGAGGCATCATTTTTTTTGTCTGTCAAAATTTTTCAGGTTGTAGTCACGTTAATACATGCAGATATCACCGGAGCCATGAATCCTTTTGCAGGTTTCTGAACTGCAGTAAAAGCAGCAATTAACAACCTCTGTTATGCCTATTCGTTGATCATTGGTCAATAACATCCGACTCCCAGGGGGTTAATAAAAGCGTCCCTTTCCAAACCAAAGCCTCCGCGCCGTCATTCAAACTATTTCATTATCACGGCCGTTACCTCGGTCGAGATCCGGTCGATACTTCTGAGCGTCGGCCGGGATGTCGATGGAGGAGCAGTTCCAGCGCATATCAGAAAATGTCTTCTGGCAGGTTTTACTTTGACTTCGCGGGCAGCCGTGATGATGGTTTGCATGAGCTCCAGGTTGCTGCGGCACAGCTGAGCTTGGGAGGACACCAGGCCGGGCAGCAGCTTGCAGTGCTGGGTCTGGTTGATGTGCAACGACCGCAGGCGCGTGTGATATCGACCTGTAGGGTAAATACATTTGACATTTTACAGTACTCCTTTTTGAGTTGTAAAAATTATGTTTACGCAACTCAGAAAGAGGTTTAGTCACAGAGCTGTGTTTCATGCGTACACAAATACATTGGATGTCTTATCACATTGAAAATTCCAAAGGAAAAATAAAGCAGAGGATTCATCAAATTTAAGTGACACGTTCCCGGCACGGCCCTTCGCTATTGTTAAAGCACAGAGAAGGCCTCATGATATTCCCTGAATATCACTAAATAAGAGGACAAAACACATCTCTGCAGATCTTCCGCCACAGAATGCGCCGTCCCCTGTGGCCCCGCTTTGACATCAGTCGTATACGGACCACTGAAGGCCGCACTTTTTAGGTCTTAAGCGTTATTGAGTATGAACTTAATACAGAAACCGCAGGCGCAGCAGGTTAGCTCTGATCTCCGCTCTCACGTGTCTACACAGAGTTCGTGGGAACCAGGCGGTGCCGACCGCTTCTCAGCCTGTGTTGCATTAAGGGGACCGAGGGGGCCGCCGCCCGGTGCCCGATGATAAGCTATGACTCGCCTGGGCCGGTGGTAACCCGGCACCCACAGGTGTTTACAGCCGCATCTGTTTTGCGTTCCGCTGGCCGTGCATTCACATCAGGACTGTAAGGGGGCTTAGATTTAGCACATGCTATCCCCAGCTCGTATCCGCACATCTGCTTCGGTCTTCGCGCCGTGAGACGTACAGGCACTCGCCCGGAGACGAGGCCATGGACGCCCCGGCACAAAGCCTGTTTTTTTGTGTTCTGATGTCAGGCGCTGGGATAAAAGTAAAAAAGGCTTTTATGAAAACTCCAAACACAACAATGAGAAAGTAGCAACTGGGGAATTTTTACGGACTTTCCAAAGTCCGATATGTTGTGAAAATGATTGTTTACTTGAACTTTACCATAGAAACAGTATAAGCAATCATCATTTGTGCCAACATTTACAGCTTTTCAGCATCCCACGACAGCAAACCCCATTTTTTCACTGATTGTGGCCTAACGAGACTGTCTGCAGGGCCAAGACGCTCCGTCACTTCCGTCCTATTCTCTATTCTTATCTTCTAGCTATTATACAGCCGGGGGTCGGCGGGGGGCAGATTTAATCTGACATCTCGGAGCTCTTTTTCCAGAAGGGTTTTCCCTTCATATCTCCAGGAAACTTTTGCTAATCTACTGTCCCCTTCATCAGATACACATGTACGGATCGCAACGGCCTCTCATCAAAAGCAACTTGAGGAATGCTGGGGCCCGTTTCAAAGCTGCCACGGGCCCCTACGCTCTCCATGACACACAAGCACTCGGACGCACAATATCGCGTATCTTTGTGACGTCTTCTGTTTGGACGCGAAGACCCGGAGAAGCAGACGGCGGCCCTCCTGAGAATACTTACAGCCATTTGATGCCGGAGCAGACCTGAGACAGTAGCAGAGCTGCGAGCACACCAAGAGGCAGGACACGAGAGCTGCTCCTCATGGTGGGACGGCGGGCTCCAGTTCACAGGACACAAACACAAAGGGGCTTCTTGGCTCAGACTGGAAAGTCAACTCTCATGGCACGGCCTCCTCTTCTAAACCCTGCAATTAATAACATAAATAACATCAATGACCCGGCGGGGGAGATTTTCTTAAGTATTGGTTTACGATGCGCCGACAAGGTCATTTAGGAACAGAGGAAATCTCAGATGGTGGAATATTATTTTAGTTTTTACAATGACAATCTCAAACCGTATGCACACATTTAAAGAAATATATTTTTACCGCCTTCTAAATTCACTATAAGAAAAGGGGTTTTGCAACAAAACCTGCAAGACAAAGACATATCTTAAGTTACATTATTTTAGGGCTTGACACTTTCTAAAAAAGCTGAAGTTTATTTCAGAAGGTTTCAGGCAAACAGGGTCCATGCCCTGCTGTCAAAAAGCGTTTTACCCGCCTCTGTAAATCCGTTGTAGATGTGGCGCAGAAAGAGCGGGATCAACGCAGTAATCTTCGGCCGCAGTAGCCGAAGCTCGGTGAGATAAGCGATCTCTTTGAAGGGAGCTCAAACTGGGCGCATTAAACTGCTGATAATGGGCCCTTTTTTCCCCCTAAAGCGGGAGTTCCGCTGAAACTGTGCGACATTCATTATTTAAATGAGCTGAGGTGAGACTCGTTTCACTCGGCCGACGGCTTTTGCGCAGTGACCTGCAGGCTCACATGTCGGCTGCTTACAGTTCACTGCCGGTCAGAAAGTCACACATTCCCGGAGCATTTAGCCTGCGGTCTTTATTTACAGCTGTTTAGTCCGTTTAACTCTTTCCAGTTACATTTGGCCCAAGAAGGCTGAATGGCAGCTCCTGTTTCCCCCTGAAAGATAAAGCCTTGATAGCCTCACACACACACACACTCACACACACACGCGCACACACACACCATCCGACGTGTGTCTCTCATCAAGCCAAGATAAAGTCCACTATTCGCCATATTTACCAAACGATGGGTGGAAAGATGGAGATTAATTGACACTAGGTCGGCAAAGATGTTTTTGTAGTATCAACTTCATAATCATTTTGTTAGCCGAGATGTTTAAATTGGGGAAGTATTCATGAGGCAAAAGCCATTTTAAAGACAAAAAAAAGTTGTTGTGGTCCTCTGTTACATGACGATACAATAAAATAACATGCATTCTTGTAATATTACGTTATTTTATTTGTTCTAGCCATAATATAACAAAACCCTAAACGCGTTGTATTAAATTAACCGTGTACAATAGTCCCAAACGTGTAACACGTGCCGGACGCAGCGCTCCTCCGACCCGGCCGGCTCGCTCACCTTTGCCGCTGCGCGCTGCTTTGCGCAGGTTGGATCAACACCAGTCAACAAGAAGAATTCATTTTTTGTTTTAAAAGTAAAAGAAAATAGCGTAATATCCTCTCCGAGTCAGTGGAATGTTGTCGGTATCAGCCAGACGCACGGGTATAATCCAGCACGGGGTGGTGGAGGAGCTCCGGACAGGTACGCATGGTGTTGGTGAGTGCGAGAGGGACAGAGAGGGCTGAGAGAGTAAGTGAGCCTGGGTTTGAGTGGGTGGGCGGGCGGGCGGGCGGGGGGGGGGGCTCAGCTTTAAAGCACTACCCACTGGCCCGCTTTGATCTCACTGCTTATGTCACACCCGCATTAGCATAAGAACGCACGGGTGCGGAGCTCCACTCCTCTTTGCGCGCATAGAAACTCTTCAGTTGGATCGATACCCGGAGTTCAAATACAAAAAAAAGAACTGTGTGCTGAGTTCTGTCCGTTATTATGATATTTTTTATATGTCTACTCTGGTATCATACAGCGATAAATTGTCATTAAAAATTCTCAAAGAACACTTGTGGTCACCTTATCATTGTGCGTATTTCAGTCAACAAATACGCATAACTGGTTTAAAAACACCCCTCGGTTTGGAATATTTGCTGTACCAAACACATCTCAGTTCTATTGTTTGACAATATAAATCGTTAAACTGTGTTTCTACGCAGACACAGCTGAATTAGTAATTATATAGAATAATTAAGTCCAATATCAAGCACAATTATTGCTTTAATCATAACAGTAGTGTTAAAAAGCGTAAATTCTAGTATCAAACGCTATTTCATATATGATTCTTAACATAATATAGTAGTAATGACTTGAGGTATGTAGGCCACTGGACATACTGGATTTCAAAATTGCGGCCACATGAGGAAAAGCGATTGAATAATTGTATAACTATTTTCATAGTCACCGACACACCCTTTTATCCGTAACGGAAATAGTATCGATTCTTTGTATACAGGAATTACTTTTACAATTTGAAACATGACTGATACAATGTCTTCCCAACAAGACAAACGTATTAGATCCATTTGGTAAATAAATAACAGTTAAAAGGTGCATATACATTAAGCGCACACATGCACACACTAATGCTATCCAAAATCTGTTCTTTAAATTTTTTCAATAAAAAATCTTCTTAAAGACACATTGCGTTTTCCTTAAATATGAACCACACTAAAGATGATATGCTGCGGAGCCAGCTGTGGGGGACGCGTTGTCCCAGAGAATCTGCCGGGCCGCCTCCAGCGCTCCGAGTCAGCAGCGAGCGGTTGTCGTGACCTTGACCTTGCCACGGGTGTAGCTAACGGCCCTCGAGCACTGTTAGCTGCTCCGCTCGGGGGAAACGGCAGATCAGGTGTTGTCATGCATGCTCCGGAACGGACACGCCGGGAGACCAGGACGAGCCCACGCACCTCCGGGGGACACCCGGATCATGTCTCGGAATTTGTTGGCCCAACAGGCTCCACTGTTACGTTTCACACACGGAACGAGAGCTGCGTGTTTACAGGGGGGCCGTGAGCTCGGCTTCGTGAGAGTCAATGTGTTTTACGTGGCAGTCAACTGCGAATGGGCACAGGTCGGAGTGTGTGTGTTTGTGTGCGTGTGCGTGTTTTTTGTGTGTGTTGTTGGAGCTTCCAGCAGGACCGGGCTCGTCCTACCCGAGACACTTCTTACACTCGGGCTCTCCATTCCTCAGCTAGGATAAACAGGCAGTCCCTTGATCTTCACATCTCACCTTCCAAGCAACATGGAGGGGGAGGACACCTTCTGGGGGAGACTGAGTGGGGAGGAGGGAGGGGGGGTGGGGGGGACTGGAGTCCATGAAAATGAAATAATTCATGCCACATTAGGAGCAGAATCCGAGCAGCGTTTAGGATTAATCCCTGCTCTCTAAATGATGCTATGTTGTCCTTTTTTAACAATAATCTGCTTTCGACATTCCGGGATTACTGGCAAATAACCTATAATGTGCATGAAAAGTTACTTTCCACAAATACATTCCCAAGTTTCCAAAAGCATGCGTTTTGTTTCTAATCCTGCTTTTCTTTGTTTTTCTCGACGAAACCAGATGTGGTTTCAGCCTGAGCTGGAAGTTTGTTTTAAAATGAAGTTTCAATCAGTACATTAGATAACTATATATTTAATTATGGGCTATCAGAGCCTCATGAAATATAAGATCCCCAGCTGTAAATGTACATAAATAGAAATGGTACATTAACCGCCTTCGGCAAAACGCTACATGGGAAGAATTGGCCCAGATAAAATATGCAGTTTTTACATTTTCTGCTCCCATCAGCATATGAACCCATCTATGAACCCAGATGATCAGCTACAAACATCAGGGCTAATATTTTCAAATAAAAATGTTGAATCTATTTTCTTTGTTGTTTGTTTGCTATAAATGTTTCATGATTTAAAATGGAGATGAAAGAAAATGTAATAAACGTATGATCTGAACTTTGTTCACTTTTACTGCCCAACCCTCATTAGATAAAAGGGTAATCATGAGCACACTGCAACGGTTTTTATTTTTGAAATCTCCCATTTTAGTTAGTGATTTTCAGATAAAAACCTCATTGATAAACGAATAACTCGTACGTTCATATCGGTCTGTTCTCGATTACCAACTGAAACCATTTGACCGTGGATACATTTCCAATCCAAATCAAAGCCAGGAGTTTGATTAACAGCGTCAACATAAATACAATAAAGCCAGAACTTAAAAGGGAATTTTCAAATGGAAACCATCGGTGAACCACATCCGTAACGGTTCCTTTTCACTCGGCCTTTTATCCCCAAAGCAGGGAACGGCACGCGGCCCTGCTGCCAGCAGATTATTGACAAATAACGGCAGCATTGTGAAGAACCAACGGTGTTCCTGGAGGGTCAAATCCGACCAGCAGAGGGGCAGCGACGGCTTTTGAAAGCCGCCGTATGAAAATCCAATCACCCTCGGGTGTCCCTCCTGTGACAGCTCACAGTGGGGATCGCCTCAATAAATAACAAGCCCCGTCCAATCTGCCTGAAAGGACCCACATCCTTCGTACGCCATTTGTTTACAGCCTCGGCCTCTATTGGGCTTTGAGGGCGCAGCCTTTTCAAGTGACAGATGGGTGGCACTTTTGAACACGTCATGTGGTCCTACAGGGAGGCCGCACCAGGATCATTCTCATAGGAGAGGTGTGGATTCCTGGATTCCAGTAATGTAAATTCTAAATCACGTAACGGTCATATTATCAGGCTGTCATACATTTAGAGCTAAATGAGTCCACTCACTCCACCAAACGTGCTTCAAAGGCAAAATGCTAAAATATAGCATTTCTTTTTGGGTTTTTTCTTTACCAGTGATTAAGACATTTTAGAAAACCTTTGTTGATGATGTCATCAGGTGACACGATTTGTATTAGTTTCATTTAATTATGTTTGAATGAAGAATAAGCCTAGAATCCACTGAAATATCTTGGGATTCTCATATTAAATTACTATCTTATGCTACGATTTTCTGTCGATGCTGCAGCTGCATGATTTGCTGGTGACGTTCATGAATCATAAACCGAGCAATACGCCGCGGCAAAGCACATGTGATTTTTATTCTGGGGTGTATTTTCCCCTAAAAAGAGAGAAGCTTCCAGGTGCTGTTTCAGCCGCGTCTTTTATCAAGGCCGCATCTCCGCGTCCAAGGGGGTGTTGCTGAAGATGAGCAAGAGGTGTTTAAGGCCGAGGAGGTTGAGGTGAACCATGTGGCTGGAGGCGCTCTTCGCTCGCACGTGTAGGAAAAGGAAAGAAGAAGAGCGAAGAGAGAAGGGCAGCTCCAGCCGGGCAGCAGGCCTCCAAACCGAGCTGGAGAAGTGCCTGGTTTTTATGAGCTCGGCCCTTTCGATTGCGGTTGTTATAAAAGAAGAATTCCTACTCCTTTATTGATTACATAATTATTGGAAATACCAAACTGCAAGTTTCAGGCACAAATACCTTTCATTCCACTGATTTGTATTATTTTGCAAAGGTCTACAAAACATACTTTTTTCCTTTATTTTAATCTTAAACAATTAAGTACGGCTTGAAATAGCATCTCCTGCTCCATGATTGCATAATGCCGCACACACCTCATAACCAGCTGAAAACAGTCACCTAAGACAGCACTGCACATTTCACTCACAGTGTAGATGCCTGTAGCTTTCCAATGGCATGGAAAAATAATGTGTTTCCTGAAGAGAACAATTAATAAGCTGACATCTGAATAATTCAAACCAAAGGTTGGGAGCATCTGTATCTCGGCCTGTGCTGCCAATTTTCCCTGAAAGGGAACCTTGAAATAAAATCCACTTAAGCCCTGTGTATTCCCCTCCAGAGTGCAGTTAAATCCTGGCTGTGTATGGACATGATTACGCAGTGCCACGGGTCTTACATCAGTACAGAACCTTGACTTCCAGCAGGAAACCTGGCGCACGGGTCAATTATGGCAATACCTTGTTTTGCTTAAAGATGGAGGATGTGTTCTTCATGCGGAAACACACCGGCAGCACCTGAGGTTCCAAACCGTAACGGAGTCCACCTCGTGTAAATAAATAAAACAGCGCTTGGAGGAGGCATGCCACTGGTGGCGGAGGGAGCGGAGGGAGCAGAGGGATGGGGTTACGAGGCGAGGGCTGCGTGAGGCACATGGCCGCTTTGGGGCCTCGCGCACAGTGGAGACAGATCCGTTTGCTCAGCAGCTGAGCGGAGGACAGGGAGATGCTTCTTTTCACACTGAGCTGAGCACCGACAATCGGGGCTTTGTGAGGGAGGCATCTGCTGTTACAGCTCACAGGAAGAATACATGTTTTTATTTTTTTTTAAAAGAGTGCACCCAGTGGGGTTATCGGTGTTAAAAGATAAGGCAGCGTCACGTCAACAAACACAGAGTGTGGATGTGTTAGCGGAGGGTTTTTAACAGCAGCGGCCTTTCTTTATATGAAACGTGTTGGAAGTCGTTCAGAAAAATTGACTACTAACTTGAATTTAATGCGACTTAAATAAGCCCAGGGATATTGTGTCAGTGTATTTGGTATATAAGACTGAAATTAGTAAATCTGTTTTTTATCTTGTTTTTCAGTATAACATTTGGGTGGATGTTGTCATTGGCCAACACTGATATGAAAGAGAAGCTATGGGTGAAATAAAGGACAGGACATTGCTTTTCTAATTGTCACTTCAGTGGC